AGTTAGCTGAACTGGGGAACTGATATCTTCTTACATCTCGCTACTTCTACATCACACCTCAATTCTAGGTGCCAACATTCTAATGGTATCCATGGCCTTTGGTTGCTCTGCCTACTGATAGGCCAAGGTACATGTTACCCCAAGAAGAAGGACTAGCATATAGAGCCATTTCTTCTCTGTCCTATTTCCCTTAATTCCTCTTGAACCTATGCCATGGAACCATTTCCCTGATAGGCGGGGCTACTCACTTCCCAGATGGGTGGGGCATGTTTATGTCATAAGGGACACTGTGACACAGGCTGGCCTATAAAAGCAGCTGTAGTCCTGGACCCTTACCAGTCACTGGTTCTGACTTCTAGGAGCCTCTCTTATCAACATGACAGATAAGCCCCAAATAATTTTTGCCTCCCAATGCCATCTTCCCCCTTATTCCTTATCTTCCCCCCGGCCTGACCCTCCTGATCCTTTAGCCCAGCCTCCCCTGTCTGGTCCTCTACCCCAGCCTGACCCCACTAGCTCTGTATTTGAGCCTTACCATCCTGCTTTTCCACACTGGCTTCACCCTCCTCCGGGCCCTCCACTCCAGCCCAACTATCTGAGTCGGCCATACCATTGTTACTTCCCTTCTGTCTCTTCACACCAGGCAAAACCCCCGGATCCTGCATCTTGGATTCACCCTCCTCCTAGTGCCCTCCCCACGTCTGACTCTCCTTTTCTTCTCCCAGACCCTCCTCCCTATCCAGTATTTGAGCCTTTTCCTCTACCTGCTCCTGCATACTGGCCCCGCCCTCCCTCTGATCCTGCACCCCAGCCTGGCCCTGCTCCTGCACCCCCAGTTCACCCTCCTGGGATTCAATTAAAGTCTCATCCTACTACTAATTCCTCACTCAAACCTCATCTCCCTTCTCATGCTAAACACCAAACATGCCCTTCTATCTGTAAACATAAGCCCTGCCCACCCCCTGCTCCCAAGCACAAGCCTCACCCTCCTGCATCTAAACACAAGTCCCAGCCTCCTCCAGATGTTCCTCTCTGCCTTCCATTCTCTTGTGGCCATGATCTCCAGAAATGCCTTCCAGCACTTCTTGCACAAAAGCCTCACCCTTCTCCTAGCCTTTTACACAGAATCCACCTTCCTGTCACTGCTCTCCACAAGCCTCACCTTTCCTCCAGTCTTTCTCCACAGCGCCACCTACCTTCTGTCCCCCCACATTGGCACCAGCCTCCCCTTGCACCTGTACACCAACCTCACCCTCCTCCTGGTCCCCCACCCTGCTCTGAGCGTCCTGCTGCTTCTCTGTGCCAGCCTCGCTTGCCTTCTGATCCTGAACCCAAGCCTTGCCCTCCTCCTGCTCCTCTCTCCCAGCCTCAGCCTCACCCTCCTTTGACCCTTTGCTTCACCCTCCTTTTCCTTCTCTCTGCCATCCTGTGTACCATCCTTTTCCTCTACATCAGCCTCACCCTTCTCCTGGTCCTCCTCCCAAGCCTCACCCTCCTTTTCTTTCTCTTTATCAGCCATCTCATATTTCTGTTCAACACCAGCCTCAAGTTCCTGCTGTCCCTGCCCCCCAGCCTGTCCTTCCTTCTGCTCTGTCATTCCAGCCTCATCCTACTCCTTATCCTCCATCTCAGCCTCATGCTGCTCCTCCTTCTCACCCTCCTGGCCATCTGTACCTCAACATTTGCTTTGCCCTTCTGCTCCTCCATCCCAGCCTGACCTTCCTTCTGGTCCTGCCTTCCTGCCCCACCCTCCTTCTAGTCCTTTTCCCTAGCCTCCCCTCCTCTTTCTCCACCTCCTGATTCCTCCATCTCCTTCCTCTTGTTCCTCCATAGCAACCTCAACCTTCTGTGACTACATTCTGTTTGCCCACTTGTCTGATCTTCCACACTGTCCTTACCTTCTGTATGACCTCTTACCACAGTCTTGCCCTGCCTCAGACCCATCAAAGTATAATCCTGCAATCTACCCTCCTCTCAGTTCTCCTCTCTTTGTCACCTTTTTCCTTACCTGACAAATGACACTACTTCCCAGTACCTGACCTTATTCACTTCATGCCCAGCTCTTCAAGACCCTGTTCCTATCATACCTAATCTGCTCATTGCCCTGTGTTATCCTACCTGTTTCTATTTGGCCTCTATGTTATCCCCAACTCTTCCCAACAGCTCTACTTACTAGTTCTCTATATCCCAACACACCCCCACCCACTTGTGATCCAGTCACCCCATCTGTACCTACTGGTTCACAAATATAATCCCAGAAGGAAGTTTCCTTCCCACTGTTATGATTCTGGTGAATCTTACGGTTGAGAATACTGGGCTGCCAGAAACTTGATGTTGGGTATAGGGGATGTGGCACAATGGCACATCATCCCTCAACCAAACACTATTTGGTTCATTACAGGACCCTTTTCCATGAGTAAATCCTGGTTATATAATTAAAATATTTTGCCTTCATTCCCAATTAGTTCAATAGACTAGAGCACCTTTAACAATTTCCTTTTCTTTCAATGGGCAGGTAGATCCTCTCCCACCTGATCAATGTGCTTGCATCAGCCTTCACCTTACAATGTGATTGGAGCAGAGCAAACTGCAGGACCATAGTGGAGGGAAGAATGAGGGGGATTCATCCCCTCTGTTCTCCAGGAGGGTAAGTTCTGATGATTTGCCCTGAGTTAAAGTGAGTGAAAGAAATGGGGAGCCCTGAGAACTCACCTACAGGGGATGAGGATTCCACTGTAGGCAGATGGGGACCTGTGTGGTTTTGTTGTTGATTTGGTGGGAGGGGTTGGCATTGGGGGGTGGTGGTAGTTGTAGTTGACTTGATCTGGTTGTGCTCAAACTTTGTTGTTCCTTTTAATCCCCAAATATTTTATAACAAAGTCCAGGGTTCATAGATTATTTTCCAATAATCTTGAATATACATGTTGTTGAATAAGCATGGCTCAGTCTCTGGCATTGCTCACAGCAACCTAACTTCTATGTAATTTCTGTCTCCTTGGAATTCAGAAAATCCCTGTAGCAGACATGTAATGGAGAGAAGGAGTCACTGATTGGCTGATGAACAATGACATCATTATCTCCAGGGGCTGAACTCCATTTCCATGGATGACAGCCCTCCAATCTTGGGACTCAAATGTGTGCAGAGAGGTGAGAACAATTCTGGACAATCCTGATGCCTCTGACCTCTAAGCTGTAGCTCTTCTGCTCCCTTATGCAGGAAAATGCAGTCTTTCTTTGAGGGATTAAAAAACGCCTGTCCCTTGGACCAGTCATAGCTGCAAGGATAGGCAGGGCTGTTTCCATTGTGATTGAGTCAGCAAGTTGCTCTGTGATTGAGCTGTCCTGAAGCTTTAGTTTTCTTCTGGCATTTTTGTTCTAGAATTGACAAAACAGGTCCCACAGTTGCACCTTTGGCAAGGTGCCAAAACCAAGATGGATTGAAATTCCATTTACTCCACAGAGAACTTGAGGCACTGAAGTGCTGATTCCATTGGATAGATGACATTTAGAGATGCAGTTATCTTTGGCTGGGTTTGCAAGATTGATATAACGAACAACAACTCTCCATGCAATACTTCCCAGGGCAAAACAAGTTGGCTTGTTCTGTTTGTTTATAAAAATAGCCACACATCCATGCTGATGTTTAGGTAGAGATTTTAATTCCTCTGAATTCAGAAGGTTGATTCTCTTACTGATAGCCTGTCTCCACAGTTGCTACCATAGTCATACTGTATCACTTCTGTACAGTAAAACTCTTCAGGGTGCTGCAACATCATCATAGGATTTGATAAACAGGCATCCCAAAACTTGAGTCTCATCCAAGCAACTGGTCATCACATATCACACAACTGTAGTCTGGGGCTTTGATCAAATGTCTGCTTCTAACAGGAATATCATGCTGTGCAATCTGTAGCACTTGGTTGCTATTGAGGTCCTGATTTTTTTTTTGACAGGCAGAGTTAACAGTGAGAGATAGAGAAAGCGAGAAAAATCTTTTTTTTTCTGTTGGTTAACCCCACAATGGCTGCCGCGGCCTGCGTGCTGTGGCCGGTGAATCGTGCTGACCCAAAGCCAGGAGCCAGGTGCTTCTCCTGGTCTCCCATGCAGGTGCAGGGCCCAAGGACTTGGGCCATCTTACACTGCACTCTCGGGCCACAGCAGCCGAGAGCTGGACTGGAAGAGGAGCAACTGGGACAAAGTCCGGTGCCCCAAACAGGACTAGAACCTGGTGTGCCAGGACTGCAGGCAGAGGATTAGCATATTGAGCCATGGCGCCAGCCCAAGGTCCTGGATTTTTACATTGCTATATCAAAACACAACACACTGGTATATATAAAATTGTATTTTGCACAATATAAAAATGTTAGACCCAAGGATTATCATCAGTCTTGACATAGCTGCATGAAATCTCCAAATTCCTTGAAATGTTATTGTTTTCCTCCTTTGACATTTTAATAATTGTCCAAATGTGTTAATTTTTTTTTTTTTTGACAGGCAGAGTGGACAGTGAGAGAGAGAGACAGAGAGAAAGGTCTTCCTTTGCCGTTGGTTCACCCTCCAATGGCCGCTGCGGCCGGCGCGCTGCGGCCGGCGCACCGCGCTGATCCGATGGCAGGAGCCAGGAGCCAGGTGCTTTTCCTGGTCTCCCATGGGGTGCAGGGCCCAAGCACCTGGGCCATCCTCCACTGCACTCCCTGGCCACAGCAGAGGGCTGGCCTGGAAGAGGGGCAACCGGGACAGAATCCGGCGCCCCGACCGGGACTAGAACCCGGTGTGCCGACGCCGCTAGGCGGAGGATTAGCCTAGTGAGCCGCGGCGCCGGCCAAATGTGTTAATTTTAATAAACTAAAAGTATGTGCTATTTAGGAAATTCATATCCTACCATTATTCTGCTGGTACATAAATGTTGCTGGTGGTGGTGGCCTCAGCTGCTGTGGTATAGGCTGTGGGACATAAGGTGGGGGAAATTCTCCTTGATTTGAAGAATGCATCAGTTCAGGGCCCGTGCATACATAGGAGAGAATTATAGTATGAACTGTGGTACTTGCATCAAAGTGGTGTGGACACATGACATTGTCTGAGGCTCAATGTGAATTTTATGAATCCCACCATCTTACACTGCCTGAGACATGTAACCAGGAGGAAGATATATAGGTGGCAGAGTACCACTTGGTGACATCAGAGGCACATAGTCAGCCCGTTGAATATTCTGAATGTTCCCATCTTTAGTGTTGATAGCAAGAGTCTCCCCAGGAATAACTTGTACCAGTATAATCTGCTGTATCCACTATTGAGGAAAGGAAGGCCATCTGGCATCTCTCTTGGGATGTCATCGTTTGTGAGTAATTAGTAGTATACTGGGTTGCAATGGTGGTGTTCACATGATAGTTCTCCATGTCCTTGTGTGGGCCCCAGCAGCCTTATAACCTCCATTCACTTGTTTATAAAATGATTCTCCACATGACAGAGCTGAACAGCAACCAATGGCCAAGCCCTGCAGGAATATAAACAGATATTATGTAGTCATATATGTTTTGTGTGTGAGATAAGCAGACGGTTTATCTTCTGGGCATCTGTTTCAAAGTGTGAGATGTCTGACTTCCTCCAAAATCTTTTCCAGCAGACTGGCCTACATGAGGTCCAGTCAGCAGGTGACCGCTTCCTGCTTCTGCCACACAACCCCAAGCCCTGTTCTGGTGGCATCTGGAAGTGGCCCAATGGCAGAGTCGAACCTGAGGAGCTGGGTCAGGTGAGTTCAGAGCTGGAATGGGACAGGGGATGGAATGGGACACTAAGAGGCAGGACATGGGGTAGAGGTGGGACAAAGACAAGCAGTCTGGCTGTTATAGAATCTGAAATGGATTTTGAAAGATTGCATGTGAGCTCATAAAAACCTTGGGCAGATGTTATCAGATTAGGGGGATGAGCTCTTTAGACCCTGGAATGTGAGCTAAAGCTAAAGCAAGGAACTAAGGAAACTGAGAAAAAGGGCTACACAGCTGTGATGTCCACGGCCACACTGTGTCCCCAGCGTGAACAGTCCTGAAATCCTTGTGCTTGATGAGTGAGTGAATGAGGAATGAAGGGAAACACAATGGGTGGAACCCAGGCCTCAGAGTCAGTATGTAGGTGCTTCCTAAAAACAGGACTTGGCGGGGCTTCTTTCTTTTCCAGGACTGTTTCTGTTGCTTTAAAACAAAGTATATCATGTAAGGCATGTAGTGGAGTCAAATTCAAAGAAGTAGACTTAGTCCTCCTGAACTATACTCTTACTAAATTTTATGTGTATGTTTCCAAGTTTACAAGTCAACACTTATGTGTATGTTACCATAGTTACAAGCCAATAAACTGTAAAATTAGCAAGTTGGTTAGGTTAGCAAAGGGTGATTTTTTCTCATTGGTGATTCAGGACACCTTGGTTCAGGTGCGAGACATCCATTTTTGTGTTTGAGACAGACAAAGAGGGTTTTGACTGTGGCCATCTACTTTAATGCAGGAGAAGATTCTGGCTTCTTCCAACATCTTCTTTTAAGAAGTGATTAGCCCAGATGAAGTCTGGTCATGAAGTCCTCTCTTCCTGGGTCTGCCAATGACAGCAGGGATTTGGATGCAAAGTGGATCCAGATACACATGGGCAGGTGAGTCAGTGTTGGAATGGGTGGAAGAAGAATCCTAAACATTGAGTTTTGGATTCAAACATGGTATGGCACAAACTAGGACTTTAAGCTACAGAGCAGAGAATGGCTTTTGAAAAGTGATATGTGTGTGCTCATGTAAATGTTGGGTAGGTATCCTCAAACAGAAAGAAAAAGAGTAAGAACCTTCTAGGCCATGGAACATTAGCTAACAGAAGGAACGATGAAATAGGAAATTGCAGAAATGTCCAAACAACTAGCTTGTTCCACACTGTCTGTTTCTGATGTTAACAAACCTGAAACACACTGGCCCTGAATCAAAGGATGAATGTAGTCCATATGAGAATGGGGACAGCATTTTACACTGCATGTAAGACACCATTTGGGATGCCTGCATTCCTTAGCAGTATGCCTAAACATTTGTGAAGTGTGCAGTCGGGCAGAGTGCAGGCTTTAGTGTTTAACTGTTGACAAAGACCAGGGCTGGTTACACCCCCATGCAAGGCCTTTGTTCATTCCTTTCTCTTATTTAAGGTATGTGTAGAGGTCCATGTCACAGAAACAGAAAATAGAATGCGGATTGCCAGGGACTAGAGGGGAGGGGAAATGAAGAGTAGGTTAATGCTTGATAAAATGTTCTGGAGACTGCATATAATAGGAGTCTAAACAGTCCTACAAATGACTACAATGTATAATTTCAAATTGTGTTCTATCCCCCAATTAAAAAATAAATAATAGCTAAACTGCAATAGCATCATCTTAGATTAGGGTTTATTTTATGTTACTACTTTGGCCACAATGGGCTGAATTATTTCGCACATAAGAAACATTGTGTGTGTGTGTGTGTGAAAAAGAGATTCTGTGCTTCAGATAGTGTTGGAGAGACTATTGACTCCTTATAAAATGTTTTTAATAGACAATTTGCCCAGGTGAAATACAGAAATTAGGGTTAGCCTGCCATGTACAAGATGGCCAGCCCTTGCTAGCAGTATCCAGATGAATGTAGTACCCTCATTGGACAGAGAAGAGCTGATCAAGGTGAGTCCAATGCTGCAATGCACCAGTCACAAAATAAGGTCATGACAGGAGGTACTTTCAGTAAAACAATGCACAAAATATATGCCACTAGGGCCTACAGAGGACAGATTGGGTTTTTAAAATGCCTATTTGTTTACATTTACTTCAAACACCCACTGACAATGTGGTAGAGAAAGAGACAGAGAGAGTTCCAGCTGCCAGTTTACTTCCCCAAAGTGCAACAACTAGAGCCAAGCCAGGCTGAAGCCAGAAGCCTGGAACTCCATATGAGTGTCCAAGGTATGTTACAGGGTCAGGCGTCTGCATCAGAAGAAGATGAGCTGGAAAGGAAGTGGCCCTCTGAAAACTCCATGTGAGCATAAAAACATTGCGTGGGTGTTCTCAGGAAGAAAGGCAGAATGTCGCACCACAGGCTGGACACAAAGAGAAAGGAATTCTGAAGGAGTTGTTCCAAACAAATATTTGTATTTGTTCAACAGTGCTTCTCCCAAATGGAAAGGCATGTAGAATCAAACATGTCCATTACAACCGAGTGAGGAAAAGCATTAACAAGTACATAATGAGGAAGAACTACAGGCTTAAAGTCAGTGCTTGAGGGCTCACTAAAAGCTGGTTTGGTTCCTCATTACCTAGCAGTCCTAGTGCTGTTTCCTTTACAATGCCTGTTTTAAATACAGTATGTGGATCAGCTAAGGTCACCAAAAATAAATAAAACACAAAGAAAATGAAAATGGAGAGTCATTGACGGGTGAAAATCACACTAAATGGTAGAGAGCCCAAGGTTTGTTCTTTGTGGATTGTTTTAAAATCATATTGGAAAAGTTTGGAATGTTTGCACAGATGAAATATATCAATATTGAAATATATCAATGGCATATTTTGAGTGTAGGCACATTCAAATACCACTTATTAATGGTCTATATGACAGATGGGGAGGGATCCATTACACAGAAACAGGAATTGAAGATTTCATGGGATAATGCAGAGTAGCTGAATGGGTGTGAAAAGCTCCAAGTTACTGAGAATAGCAGCAGGAAAAGATTATGCTCTCTATATGGTTGCATAATAAGATCATAATAAAGTGGGTATCAAAGTTTTGTCAGAAGGGAAACAGTCTAGATATGTGTGTGTGTGTGTGTGTGTGTGCGTGTATGTGCACTTGTGTTGACAGCAGGCAGAGGGGACTTGGGATATGGGAACCTGACTTGAAGATAAGGTAACTTCTGACTCTTTTGCAAATCATTTATAGCCCATTACTGATGCTTGTGAGTATCAGCAATAAAGTAGTCCCACCTGTGTGGTTTGAGGGAAAGGTATTCTGTGGTGGGATCCAAGGTGGGCCACTCTACAACATAGAGGCTAACATGATGCCAGGCTTACATCACACAGGAGGGTACACTATAGTCCCCAAAGACAAAACTGAGAGGTGAGATATCAGGGTAGAAGCTTAATATAGAGAAGAATGAGGGTGCAGTGGGGTGTAGAACGTTTTGAAAGATTTCATATGAGCTCCTGTAAGCAAATACTGGGAAGCCGTCCTCAATCAGGTTCCTAGGAGGAATGCTGTGGAGTTGTACTCAATGCATAGAATGAGTTGCTCCACACGGTGCAAGTTTCAAGTGCATTCCTCCCTGATGTAAGGACGTCCTGAACTAGACTTGTTCTTCACAGCTGTGTGAGGAAAGAACCGAGTGGAGAGAGAGAGAGAGAGAGAGAGAGAGAGAGAGAGAGAGAGAAGCCTCAGGCATGTTGCCTAAGTTAACAAACCAGTCTGAGTTTCAGATCTGTTGTGGTAGAAGGGGTAGCCCCACCAGGCTAACTTGCAAGCTGTGAGAAAGGACACACATGAGTTGATGTTTAGGGGGTTATTAACCCAGGGCTGGTCCACTCCTTCATAGCAGTTGTACTGGTGCTAGCATTAAAATGACCTCTTTTTTTTAAACTTTTATTTAATGCATATAAATTTCCAAAGTACGACTTATGGATTACAATGGCTTCCCCCCCATACCGTCCCTCCCACCCACAACCCTCCCCTTTCCCACTCCCTCTCCCCTTCCATTCACATCAAGATTCATTTTCGATTATCTTAATATACAGAAGATCAGCTTAGTATACATCAAGTATGGATTTCAACAGTTTGCTCCCACACAGAAACATAAAGTGAAAAATAATAGATGATTTTTTTTAAATGATGATGAAATCAGATCAGACCTATTGTCATGTTTAATCCCAGTGAGAGTCAAGTTGGGAATTGATAATTTCTTTCTTTCTTTTTTTTTTTTTTTACAGAGGATCAGTTTAGTATGCATTAAGTAAGGATTTCAACAGTTTGCACCCCCATAGAAACACAAAGTGAAATATATTGTTTGAGTACTCGTTATAGCATTAAATCTCAATGTACAGCACATTAAGGATAGAGATCCTACATGAGGAGTAAGTGCACAGTGACTCCTGTTGTTGGCTTTACCAATTGACACTCCTGTTTATGGCATCAGTAATCTCCCTATGCTCCAGTCATGAGTTTCCAAGGCTATGGAAGCCCTCTGAGTTCTCCGACTCTTATCTTGTTTAGACACGGTCATAGTCAAAGTGGAGGTTCTCTCCTCCCTTCAGAGAAAGGTACCTCCTTCTTTGATGACCTGTTCTTTCCACTGGGATCTCACTCGCAGAGATCTTTTGCCAGAGTGTCTTGGCTTTCCATGCCTGAAGTACTCTCATGAGCTTTTCAGCCAGCTCCGAATGCCTTTAGGGCTGATTCTGAGGCCAGAGTGCTATTTAGGACATCTGCCATTCTATGAGTCTGCTGAGTATCTCACTTCCCATGTTGGATCACTCTCCCCTTTATTTACTCCATCGGTTAGCGTTAGCAGGTACTAGACTTGTCTATGTGCTCCCTTTGACTCCCAGTCCCTCCACCATGACCAACTGTGAACTGAAACTGATCACCTGGAACAGTGAGATGGCATTGGTACATGCCACCTCGATGGGATTGAATTGGAATCCCCTGGTATGCTTCCAACTCCACCACTTGGGGCAAGTCAGCCTGAGCATGTCCCAAATTATACATCTCTTCCCTCTCCCATTCCCACCACCATGTTCAACAGGGCTCACATTTCAGTTAATTTTCAACACTTAAGAATAACTGTGCATCAATTACAGATCTGTTCTAAAATGACCTCTTTTTAAACATTTATTTACATAAAGAGAACAGATTTCATGTATTTCATATATTCAATTTTAAGCCTGCAATGATTCTTCGCTGCCTCCTCCTTTCCCTCCCTCCTTCCTCCTGCTTTTTCCCCTTTTTAATATTGTTTATTTTTTTGAAAGCAAGAGTTAGGAGGAGAGAGAGAAAGGAGATCTTCCATCTAATGGGTCACTTCCCAGATGGCCACAGTGGCCAGGCTGGGCCAGGTCAAACACAGGAGCCGAGAGCTTCATCCATGTCTCCCACATGGGATACTGTAGTCCAAACACCTGAGCCAATCTTTGCTTGTTTTCCCAGGCCTTTAGCTGTGTCACAGGACATAAACCAGCTCCCATATGGGATGCTGGTGGCCACATAACACTGAACCCCATACATTCAATTCACTTCATACTCACCAGTTTAATCCTGCACTAAATTAAGAATTCAACAAGAAAAAATACAAAGACCACTGTTGTGCAATAGTAGACAAGGGCTATAAAAATTATCAAATATAAAGATGTAGTTTCACTCATATACACTAAAATGTGGGGGGTACAGAGGACCCTTTCATGTGCTAATTTCATTTCCTTTGGGTAATTTCCCAAGAGTGCAATGGCTGGGTCATAAGGTAGATCTATTTTCAGATTTTTGAAGCATCTTCATACTGTCTTCACAATGGCTGTACTAGTTTACATTCTCACCAACAGTGGACTAGGTACCTTTCCTCTCGCATCTTCATGAGCACTTCTCTTTTTCTTTTTAATTTTTGGATGATAGCCATTCTAACGTAGGTGGCATGAAATTCATTGTGGTTTTTATTTGTGTTTCCATGATGGTTAGGGACCCTGAGCATTTGTCCATGTGTCTGTTGGCCATTTGTGTTTCATCCTTTGAAGAATGCCTGTTCATCTCTGTTGCCCATTTATTCACTGGGTTGTTTGTTTTGTTGTGGTTCAGTTTCTTGAGCTCCTTATGTGTTTTATGTCTTAATTGTGTATCAAGAGAATAGTTTGCAAGTATTTTCTACCATTCAGTTTGATTCCTTTTCTCTTTGTCGAGTGTTTCCTTTGCTGTTCATAAACTTCTTAGCTTGAGCTAAGAAGCTTAGAGCTTCTTCTGGGTCTCACACATGGGTGCAGGGGACCAAGGACTTGGGTGATCTGCTGCTTTCCCTGGTGCATTAGAAGGGAGCTGGATCAGAAGTGGAGCAGTTGGGTCTCCAACCTGTGTGCATATGGGGTACTAGCACCACAGGCAGAGGCTTAACCTGCTACACTACAATGCTGGCCTCATTATTGGCCCTTTGTAAATGATCCTTTGAAAAATGCCTATGTTGTCCTTTACCCATTTCTTCACTAGATTGCTTGTTTTGTGTATAGTGAGTTTCATGGACTCCTTATTATCCCTACATACTAATCCTTTATCAGCTGACTAGTTTGCAGATATTTTCTCCCATTCTGTCAGTTGCTTCTTCACTTTACTGTTTCCTTTGCTGTTCAAAAGCTCCTCAGTTTGATGTAATTATTTGCCTATTTTTCTTTCATTACCTGTGCTTCTGGCTTCATAATGACACAGAACATGGCTTTTAATGTTGAAGTTCGGAAAGACGAAAACAAATTTTATGTGTGTGTGTGGGTGGGCGTGTGGCCCGCTGTATCTTTGTGTGTTGCATGCATGCATGTTGACAATAGGCAAACAGGTTTTAGAGGGTTTCTCAAATCTTTTATAGGAAATGAATGATGCAGGTGAATGTTACCAATGATGCACTTATCACCTGTACAGTATGAAGGAAAAGCATTCTGAGGTGGTAGAA